AAAAAAAAAAAAAAAGAAAGAAAGAAAGAAAGAAAGAAAAGAAAAGAAAAGAGAATAAAGAAAGAAAGGAACTCACATCCACCAGTGGGGTACCTCCATGTTTAAGAATAGCCAATTTCCTTTGAAATGAGTTACCATGCATCTGTGATCAGAGAAGTTACTGAGCATAATATAAAGCAGTAAATTGCAATGATGCTATGTATAAAAAGGCACTTACAGCAGATTTGGAGGAGTCCCAAGAGAAAAATCGGGTGAAAAAGGTCGGTTCCCCCCCTTCATTAACAATATATATTGGGGTTTGAAGAGAGAGTCTCTCGTGAAGAAAATCATGCTCCAGGAATTTCTGTTTTGAATACAATAGCATATACGGTGTCATGTTAGAACTTGCGAACAATTACAAATGTAAGGAGCCTCAAGAATCAAGATCCCAACTTCTATTATACTGGGGCTACACCCAATTTAAGTATAAAAAGATGATTACTTCTGTAGAGTTTTTGCTAAATTGACTTATATTTATAAGACACCAAATCCACCACCAGACATACCAATAATAAACAAATCACAAAAACCTTAATCATCAACCACTAGGAGAGATCCAACCAAGAAAGAAATCACAACCAGAAAGGTCATTTTGTTAAGTTAAAAACGTGTTAAGGAGTAACTATAATTTTGAAAGATAATAAAGAGATTTTTTTCGTAATTAAGCTAAACTTAAGACTATTGATTTTGAAAGAATTCAACACATCAAACCAAATGCAAATGCAAATACAATCAATTTACCAAAATTTCAAGGCAGAAACCTTCTAAACAAATTGCATTAATAAAAGGGTCCAGTCTACTATTAGATCTTTGGTTTTTGAAAGCCACAGCTTCAAGCATGTTGGCTCATCACTAAGCAAAATGTAAGATGGTCTTCGCAGGATACCGAAGCAAATTTCACTTGCTCATATTTGAAAAATGAAATCAAGTCAAACTTTACCTCTCCGATACTTAATGCATTCATCTTATTCTTTGATTCCACATGTTGGCCGACCCACACATAAATATCTGATTGGCAGTCGAGAATAAATATATCTTCTGTCATTAAATCGTCCTGATTGAAATTATGAACCTCAGTCACCTGAAATAGAGACAATGATCCAATGTCATGACGTGTGTGAGAAAAATAACAGAAAATAGAATGACAATTCACAGAGAGTATTCAGGTAGTACTGTATTTCTAGTGTGTTTTGCATGAAAACGTAGATGTCAGAGAGGTAAACACTGAAAAACATCACTTCATTGCCAATGCAAGGTTTTTTGGCTCTCAGCTCGTTACTCGAGATAAATGCAATGATAGACTAGCACAACTAATTCGAGAAGATACTAAACTGCATTCATATTTTCTACTTATATTATAAAGTTATATGACATACATACCTTGAGATCTCCTGGACAGTGAGAAGTCCAGCAAGAGTTACCACCCAAGCAAATGAATGAAGCATGTTAGTTCTATCCACACAATAAAGAAAAAACAAAAAGAAAAAGAATCACAAAAATTGTATAATCAGTAACTAATATAAAATGCAGTACCCTTCGTTAAGGTGCAGGAGAATAGATGAGGATCACTTTCAGCTTTTCTTGCAATTTTCTGGCTTGGGTACTCGGATTTTCCACCTAACAAATCCCAAAACTGCTCAATCTCAGCACCTTCTTTTTGCAATTTAGATTGTGAGTTTGGCTGCAAATGCAAGCAAGAAAAGGACATGTTATGCAGACTAAACAGTGAATTGCAAGCAACAGATATCCAACCACTCAACACGCCATTTAGTTGAGTTGGGATATTTACAGAAACTACACTACGTTTAATCTTAATCACAAAACAATCAGTTGTTTTTTAAAAGAACAAATATCATTACAAACACCCCTAGGGGCCTTTTTTTTAAATACATATCACGCCTAAAAATCATAAAGAAGTGCATTTGTAATTGTGAAAGATAACTTGGTTTTTGTGCAATTACGCTAAACTTCAAATGCGGTATAATACTCTATCTATACCGTGCAACAAACTAAAAGCCTTGGGTGATTTCGTAATTTTTAAGGAAATATAAACACGAGTGTCATACCCTTATAAGATCCAGCTGCCTTTCAGCGAGTTCTTGGGCTTCAGATGATGTAAGATTTCCTGACCAGATAAAGACAGTGGACCCACTATGTAGTATGTAACAGTAGGAAGAATTAAGCGATGAAGCCACCTAAAATTGTAGAGGAACAGATTAATATTCTATTAGCTTCATTAAATGGAAATGTTAACACAGGGAAGACCTAGAAACGGGAATTTAATTTCTATATGGTTCCATTGATGCTTTTGGAAATTTAGAAATTACGAGAGACCATAAGGTCAAATCAATTCGCAACCAAATTCCAGCTGTTAATCAGATGGGGCAAATTAGTTCATGTTAAAGCAGAAGACTTACAGGATCAACTTGAATGGCTTGCATATTTTCTGGTCCACTTCCTTGAACTCGAAACAGCGCAAGTCCATCCTCCGAATATGTCTCATCTTCAAGTTCCTTCTCGGAAATGTGATTTTTGTAGCCCTTACTAAGTCCACCCTGGAAACATACAGAAAAAAATAATAACAATTACAACATAAGAAATTCATGGCTATTAACAAATATGGTAATATGAATTATGAGCTCATGACAAACTCCATGTATTCTATTTCAGTAATTTCCCAAACCTTGAAGAGAATGAAGCTCTGAAAAATTGCAAAGAACTGGAGTGGTTCATTTCCTTCGTGGATGCAAACCTAGTAATGTGTGATAACAATTATCATACCAGGACAGAAGTTGGCATACAAGTAAAATCGAAATAAAGTAATCAAGGAAGGTAATGTACCTGAGTGGGTACAAACTTCAGAGACTCAACCATCTTGTTTGCCTGTGAAACTGATGCTACCCTATCTTCCTATAGAGCATGATAAGCATGATCAATAATCCCATCAATAAATCTTAACTGACTGCTAAAATACAGAGATGATGTGATTTGAAGATTTTTTTTTCCATAAGACAATTACTAGCCTCAAGTTATTTCAGTAAGCTTCATAGAAGTTCACTTTTACGCTTGAATTTTCAGTGAGTTTTCACCACCAAAATTCACAAGCAAGATACTGGCTTCTTCCTTCTTTTTTTTTTTTTTTTTTTTTTTTTTTTTT